TTTTAAAAAATGAAGCCAGAAGCTTGCTGCCATCACAGACTGCTCATCTGAGAGCTGAACTTGACATAGGAAAAGGAAAGCTGTTGCTATTCAGCAAGATACTTCTAGGTGTCCAAAAAAGCTGAATTAATGCTCTTAACAGTGTGATTTGGTGAGCTTTGCTGGAATTTGATTTATTGCTTCTCTGCAGTAGTATGGCAGAAATTACATACATTTGCAATAAGGTGTAGAGGTTAGAATGCCTTATAAGACAGGCCAGTGCTTCTCTCTTGAACAGAATTTTCTCAGTCCCCTCCGTGTCACATTTTCACAGTAGGGGCATTCCCCATTTTATCTGCCCCATTTGCTATAGAGATCTTTGCTCTGAGCCTGGGCTTAGGATCGCCACTCAGAAAGAATACTTCAGTATTCTGTGCCTCCAAGCAGCACACATGGCAGACTCCAAGTCTTCCCTTGTAGCAGAGCTTTCACAAAATGCTCAACTAAATGTCTACGTTTCTTCATTGCCTTTGAAGTTTATCTCCTCAAAGCTGCTAAACTAAAAAAAAAAAATCATCTTTTGGCTTTGTGAGGAGGGTCTGAAGGCCGGCACCTCTTTTCCTCACCCCCTTCAGAAATGGCAGACAGCAAGCCAGCTCCCAACCAGCATATGGGCAGGGTCAATGTTGAGAAAGTGGAACAGGCTACAGGAAGGCCTGGCTTGTGCTGGTGTGTGGGTGAGATTCATGCTGAGATAGTTGAGCAGCTTGCATAGAAGCTCCCTTCACTGAGACCTGGCCAGAATCGGGGGCATTCAATTGAAGGTAAGGGTTGTTGTTTTTTAAGCTCCCACTCCATTATGGGACTCCTATTCTCACAGCTTGTAAAACCAGGAAGGAAAATTTCACTGGAGTCTTCTGAATCTTAGGACAGAATCTCAGGGAAAGAGCTGTGACTGTCCTCTCCCCTCCCCCCTGGGTGCAACCTGGAACTGTGGTACAGCTGAGCCCTCTGTCTTAACAAACTGGGTTCCCTCTCGCACTGTGACATTGTGACAAGCTGCAAAGTCCTGCAAGCTTGCACTTACACCAACATGCATGGGTAGGGACCACACCCAGCTGTGTTCATGAATGCTCTGGACAGCCACTGCATGAACCAACAATAGAGAGACTTCAACCAAAATACCCCCCAGCTATGGACCCCGGAGCTGTATCGTCCTGCCCTGGTCAAAAGCCTGACCAGTAAAGATTATTACAGTCACCCAGTCTCCGCTCCCACCCCCACCCGGCGTGACGTGGAGAGGAATATGCACTAAACCTTTAACTGAGCTGAGATTTTTCCCAAACACTTCACTCAAAAACACACCGGTTAAGAGAAAATATAAAACAGGTTTATTAACTAATATGGCGTACAAATTGTCACAGAGCCTCGTAGCGACCCAGAGGATGAAATTCTTGCTCCCAGCCAGCACATAGGCATGGTACATGCTGAGATGGCTGAGAAGCATCCCTCCTCCCACAAGCTATTTTACCTGAAATATTTCAGATGCCCTGAAAGGTGCCAGCTCTTGTGACCTTTCTTATACTAGTGAGTTATTTTGTCTTCAGTTGCTCCAGCTCTGTCCTTGTTCTCAGCGGTCAGTCCCTACTCAGCTCAGACCAAGCGGTAGGGATCACCTTCCCTGGGAGAATCATAGGACTGGAAGGGACCTCGAGAGGTCATCTAGTCCAGTCCCCTGCACTTGTGGCAGGACTAAGTGTTATCTAGACCATTTCTGGCCGGTGTTTGTCTAACCTGCTCTTAAAAAAATCTCCAATGATGGAGACTCCACGACCTCCCTAGGTAATTTATTCCAGTGTTTAACCACTCTGACAGTTAAGCAGTTTTTCCTAATGTCCAACCTAAACCTCCCTTGAAACTCCTGTCTCCTCTCCCTTTCCAGTTTCCAGTGATCCCCCACAGGAGCTCATAAAGTTGTTACTGTTTTCCTTAGAAGACATTCAGGAAAGGTGTCGGCAGACTGTCCTTTCAACTCTCCCTCACACAGGTCCCCTCCCCACTTCTCTCAGGGTTTGGTCCAGGTACTGGTGAAGGCTGTTGCTCACAATCAGCTCTTAAAGAGACAGTGCTAATTTTAAAATCCCTCATGAGAATCTCCCTTCTACTCTAAAGAGAAGAAGTGTACTTTTGACACTGTTAAACCAAGCTTTCCAGAAATAAACTTAAGGGGAAAGGGTCTTACTTCACAGGTGCTTATGATTTTACAAAATGAATCACTAAAAAACAAAACACAAACCCCTTTCCTACCTAAAGAGTTGAAGAAATACTGAGTAATTCCTCAGGTAGTTAATGACAGTTTGCTGAAGGTGGAGTGGGAATTCTCTATCAAGGTTTACTTATACTTAAGGTAGGACTAAAAGGCCTTCATTAATCTGCATGAGGCTAAGCCTCCTTAGTAGAGGGCATAGTCATACCAGCTGAGGGAGGATTTCCTGCCATTCCCCCATACAGGAGAATAAGATTTTCACTCAGACTGAATTTGTATACAGCAGCTTTAGCCCTGAGAATATTGGCTGCAGTCTCTGTGCATATCTATGCTCAACTGGGAGGCCATTGTGAGCATGCATGTGCATGCATACACACCAAAAAAACCCTACTACATCAAACCTATCTTACACTAGATTTCCCTAGGAGGTTTCTGAGGACTGATGCATCACCGGACTCTGATTTACTGTACATTCAAAACGTCAAAAGACTTGCTGGGATATCCTTGAAAAAATTGGAATTGCAGACTGACATCTTATCTTTCTGAACGTTTTGTTGGTAAGTCCTTTGGAGAGCATGGAGACAAAGCTGTCACTGAGACTTTAGACAAGGGAATAAGTTCCTCCTTCCATTGAGAGAATCATCTACCTTATCTCAGCAGATTTTCCCTTTGAAGCTGTTGTTCCTCCAGATTCCAGCCGAGAGATTGCACATTAAGAGGAGGCCATTGCTGCCTTTCCTGAGAGGTGGAAGACCAACTCTGTGATTTTCTGGAAAATGATCCAATTCCAAAAGAGTCTTTTGATTTTGAATTTTCTACATTTGGGCAGATCATCTCCTCCCACCTGTCTACGAAGATTGCCTTTTTAGATGCTATTACATCTGCTCAGAGGTCCTTTTTTAAATAGTTATTTTCATTAGTCTGATTTAGTAGTCAATAGTAGACCCCTACCATGAGGTTACCCATATTTTTTTTTATTCCTTTTATCTTTACCCAGAGACTCTCAACTGGTCTGCTCCTTCTGGACCTCAGAACAAGTGTGTGTGTGTGTGTGTGACACACACACACACACACCAAGTCTCAGTGATGCCAGTTGTCATAATTTAGTTTATGAACTACACTTCCAGTTTTCTTTTTATTACCCATACTCCTTGCATTTGTGTGTAGATATGTAAGATGTTGAGCAGATTCCCTCACTGATTTCCATCTTGTTGTTCCTATGACCCTATTGCAATTTTCCATGTCCCCTGCCCCTGCCCAACATCTAACCCTCTTTTAAAGTTGTCTTTTGTTTATACTTACTCACCCACCCCCATTGAACCTAGTTTAAAGCTGTCCTCACTAGGTTGGTGAGTTGGTGTGTTAAGATGTTCTTCCCCTTCTTGGTCAGGTAGGCCCCATCTCTTCCCAGCAGACCACCTTCCCAGAACAGTATCTCATAATTGAGGCTTCTGATGCTTTCCCATCAACACCATCTGTGCAGCCATGCATTCATCTCCAGGATGTACATGTCCCTTCCTAAGCCCTAACACTTAACTGGGAGGAAAGATGGACAAGAACCCAGACATTTTTCTTCTAAAAGTTTAGTACAGAAAATAAATTAGACTAATTTTATATAAATTACTAATATACATACACAGATGGTAGACCAGTTCTCCTTTAGCCCTTCTACTTATTAACAAGTTGTTTTGTCTTTTATATTCCGTTCGTTTTATTTTCCTCAGTGAAGAACTACTACAAATACTGTAGATTTCCAAATATTATGTTGTCAGTATGTTGTGATATTTATTCCTGTTTATGAACTCTCATAGGTTTCAGAGATTACGGCATACAAATTGTCATATCTTTAAAAGGTGATTAAAATGTTTTAAATGTAGCTCACATTTATTTGTAGTTCTGTTTATCCACAAATGTCTGACAATTTTGGTTTCTTTTGCCCTTCAGTTGGAGTATATTTCAAAACTCCAGAACAAAATAAGGCAATACAGTGCAATATAGTGTAGTAGAGTGGCTTTTTTTTTTTAGAAGCAGAAATTTTCATGAAAACACGTAGCCTCACCTTGTCATATGGAAATAAAACTGAATATTTAAACATATAAACATTCTGCAAGGTGCACCTGATTCTAATATAGTTTCAGATTCTTTTAGTTGTGTGGCAGAATTCTGAACAGAATGGCCGTGTTAAAATGGCAGAAACATGACTGTAAAGTAAACGTTATATTCATTTCAGTCTGCATGTTGCTAGTGACAGGTGCTCAATGGTTGTCAGTACCCTTGTCAGCAAAGAGAATCCTTTGACATTAAAGTCCCCAGTTCAATCCTGATGCTGTGTGACTCTATTGGCAGGTCCATCAGGCTGTAGCTGATCAGTGAATGTCAGAGATGCTGCTGTTCTTCTGGGATGTCACCTGTCCCTAGTGTTTTTGGTTTGGCCTTGCTTGTTGTTTGAACTTACCACACTTTCCAACAGCTCTCCTGTGGGAAATGAACTGATAGGTCATGGGAATATAGGTATCTTTAGGGCATGCAAAATCTCATCCAAAGTGACTTACATAAAGGCTTGTAATGATTACCTTGACTCTAAGCCAATCAATGGTTAGCGCGCTTAGGGACTCATTAAATGGCATTTGTGGTGTCTGTAACCTAGGTTTTGAGCTGTATTTCAGGGAAAGTGGTGACAGCCTTTAATGTCTAATTGACCTCTTCTCTTTGATTCACTTTCCATATTTGCCTCTGATGTGGTCCCCAATGGCAGCAAACAGCACTGCTCAGCATTCTGAACTTCTGTTCAGAGCTTCAGCACCTCAGCCTTGGTAGCTGTGTCATGGTAAGTAATTGAAGTCGTGTTTGTGTGTGAGAGAGATGACTGAGACTGAACTTACTTTTCTTTGTTTACAAAAGTATTAAAAGATAGTTTACTTCATTTGCTTATCTAATATTATCCTCTATTCTTATAGGGCAAAAATGAATGTGAGTGTGTTTAAAGGAACACTGGCCAGTTTTGTAGGCCTAAAATTTAGCTCACCATCTCCCTGCCCCTGACTGTTTGTAAAGTGAATGCAGTTCTTTATATGTTTAGTGTTCTTTTGCTTCCAAAACTAATGATTGTTCATTTTTATTTAAAACAAATATTCATTATTGGAAGCCTGGCACTCATGAACAACCCCAACAGTAATAAATCTCTGTGTATGCAGAATGAGTTAGTTTTATGGAGATATTTTTAGTCATAGGCTTCCCAGGGCTATGGGCTTTTTGTTACTTTTTTAAAAAATTAAAAATTGGAATTGCTGATGAAGAGGCCCTTCCTAAACTATGTTGTACCTGCATGCAAGAGGCAGACATAGAGGGAGGCTTATTTTGCAGCTCTCTGTAGCTATAAATACAGCAGAGTACTTAATATGCGACTTGATAGGCTTCTCTACCTAATCAGGAAACAAAAGACAAAGGAAGAGCTGGATAGACCTACCCAAGTTGGCTCAGCAGTACCAACTAGCTCTTCCAAGAGTCTAGACTTCCTATCACTCCTTTGATAGTGGGTTACACTGCCCATACAGTGGGTCACTTCTTCATTTTCCCTAACTTCCACAGTGGAGACTGGCAGTGCTTCCCTGAAGGCTAGATCCAGGTTCAGCCCTTGTTCAACCTTGAAAAGGGATGAAACTTAATTCTTCTTTCCATATGCAGATATATGTGCACTGTTTATTTTATTAAGTGCCGTTAAACCACCAATAGCCCTGTTGTTATCCCTCCAATTGCCCCTTTATATAAGTAGGGTACACCACTGTCAATGAAACTTAATTACCCTTTGGGGGGGAAAAGGCTCTTACAAAAATTGCGTTAGCAATGCAAAAAGGAATGTTGGGAAGAAAATCAGTTTTAGTTATAGATTTTAATTGGTCTTTCTTATTCAGTGCGTAAATTTAAAAACAAAAGTTTAAAAACTGATGGAAAATTTACCTTGCTGTTGTCTTTTTTTAAAAAGCAGAATGAGACCTGTCCAATGTGGTGATGAACTCCTCTCCAAATTCCTTAGAAATGAAAAACAGTGAAGACAGATCAATAGATGTATTAGCAAACAAAGCTGCTTGGGTATAACTGGGAATAACGATATATAAGAAATAGTGCTTGTTCTCTTCACAGATTGAAGACTATGACCTGATAGCGAGTATGATGGGAGCAAAGTGCAAAAAACTGCGTACTCTGGATTTGTGGAGATGTAAAAACATTACTGAAAATGGAATAGCAGAACTGGCTTCGGGATGTCAGCTCTTGGAGGAGCTTGATCTTGGCTGGTGCCCTACGCTACAAAGCAGTACTGGCTGCTTCACAAGCCTTGCGCGTAAGCTCCCAAACTTGCAAAAGCTCTTTCTTACAGCCAATAGGTCTGTGTGTGACACGGACATTGAAGAACTTGCCGCTAACTGTACTCATCTTCGGCAGTTGGACATACTGGGTAAGGAAACACATGAATACTTGCATTATTGTTTTTTCATATGTTGTAGGAAGCGAGGACTAGATATTGCATAAAATAAGACTTAGTTCCAGATCTTAAATATTCTTTAAAAAAAATAAGTCCCAATACAATAAAATTAAAAATGACTAAATTGCTCTAAGGTCCCATTTTGACTTAATCAGCCGTATGGCTTGACTTAGTTTGATAAGCAGTTTCATAAAGGTAACATTAGTGTAATTTACTATTCTAATAAGTTGGTCTTTTTTATTAGGGTTTTTAAGAGTTATAAATTCTTAATGCTTTTTTGGCTGAAAAAAATCTTTGTGGTTACTGTTGCTGGTTTTCCTACGCCTTTTTTTTCCTTTTATGGTATTTGTATGGAGTATGATAGACTATATTTATAAAGCGTGAGTCTTTTGATCAAATAAGCAGACTTTTCTTGCAGAATACACATCAGGCAGAACAGAATAATATTTTCCATTCTTTTTGTCACTTTTACTAGAAGATAATGTCTCTTTTAAAGTTAAAAAGTACTTTACAATGCAACTTAATTGTGTTTTCCACTGATGCAGAAAGGAAAAAAAAGTAACTTTTTGCAAAGCTTAAATTTCTAGCCCTTTGTAGCTCTTGCAGATGGCAGTACCTTTTGCAATCTGAAGTAAAATATGCTTTAGACTCTTGAATGAGGAATTTGTGAAGGGAAAAGTATCTCTACAGAACATTACATTAATCCTGTTAGACTGCAACACGTGGTTTCATTATTTAAAATGGTGGAAGACTGCATGCATTGCCATGAGCCAAGATTTCCTTTAGGGACAGGTTCTTGTACATTTGATGGATATTTTCATGGGTTTAGTTGAAAGAGGAAGATAGAAGCCTAAAAGGAAGCAATTAAATTAATTCAATATGAGTCATGAGAAGAACAAGTTTTAAAATTGATTCTGCAAGAGGCTGACAAGTCTCCGTTCACATTGCCTTCAGTAGGTGGTTAGAGCTATCATTATTTCACAGGTTTGGGCTTTACATGTGCAAGAAAATTTACAGCATGGCTTCTAATTGTTAAACACTCCTATATAGCTCATACATAAATACCATAGAACATGGTTTCATGCTGTTGACCTATGGCCAACATCCAACCAGCATTAGGAAGAAAGGAAAACAGGTGCAAGTTCACTCTTCCCAGAACAAATTGATCAAAACCTAAAGTTGTATGTGCTTTGTAGTCTGTATGATGGGTTGCCCCCCTTAGGATGCAACTGAGTCAGCCTATTCTGCCAGCCTGGGTCCTCTTTACCTGGCTTTTCTGGGTTAGGCTCAGAAGCCTCTTCCAGCCAAGCACACAGGCAGGGCCACACCCAGCTACACAAAGAGACAGAGATTCGCTCTGGAAAGATTCAGCCTTAGGGGCTTGCTCCAACACGCCGGTGCCCATTCCTTTTTAGGGGTACAAACCCAAAGGTTTATGAAATTTGCCCCCCTCCCTCAATGTGGAGGGAGATATGCACAACTTCTTGCCCCCCCCCAGTTAGAAATTACATAAACTGGGTTACATTATAAACAAGAAATAAGTTTATTAACTACAAAAGTGAATTTTAAGTGAATTTAAGAGATAACAGACAGAACAAAGCAGATTACTGAGCAAATAAACCAAAGTCCGCAAGCTAAGCTCAATATACTTAAGAAACAGGTTACAAAATGTAATTTCTTACCCTAAATGTTATTTTAGGCAGGTTGCAAAGTTTCTGTGGTTCAGAGTTCCAATTATATTTCTTTTGAGACTGGAGCCCTATCTCAGTCTGGACTTCCCCTCCCCCCACCCCGCCCTGCCTTCCCTTCAGGTGGCTTTAGCAGTCTTTCTTCTTGGGCAGACAGGCCATGGAGAGGAGGAGCCCCCTTTGCCTTCCTCGCCACCCTTAAATAGGATTTACATAAGGCAGGAATCCTTTGTTTCCCAAACTTGACACACACACCCCTCCCTTTCCAGTGGAAAGTTACAAGAATTCCCAGGTAATGTTTAGTATCAGGTGACAAGACCACCTGACTCTAGTATCACAGCATCCATGAGTCAGTGGCTGTATGGAGCGTCCTCAGGAAGGACTTTTCACAGTCCATTGTCCTTGCTGATGGGCCATGCGTCCTGTCTGGCTTTTCCATTGTTGTACCTGAAGTGTTAGCAGTGGGCGTCACCCAAAATAGCATAGTTGAAATACAAATACATAATCAATATTCCTAACTTCAGATACATAAATGATACAGGCATACAAATTGGATAATCACATTCAGTAAATTATAACCTTTCCAATGATACCTTACAAGACCCATCTTGCATAGAGTATCTCTGTTATGTCATATCCATATTATAAGCATATTTCCATAAAGAATATGGAGTGAAATGTCACAGTCTGTTTTAAGTTAATCTGTTTTGCAGCTAGATTAGAGAAGGCATATTTCCTGGTCATACAAACCAGATCTCCAAAAGGCTTACTGAATAAAGCATTTTATAAACATATACGTTCTTTTGGCCACCCACTCTTGTGCTTATCTATTATGATGGCATTGTGTCGGCCCACAAATCGATCTGACCTTTTCACTAGAACAGAGAGGCCGAGAAATGAATAGTACGGTTGTTTACCCTGCATAATGTCTGCAGGCTGTGCTTCCTCTTTGCCAGCAATAAGGGTTTGCTGCCACATTCTCCCTTAATATTTGAATTCACTTCTTGACACTTACATGCAAAATAATATCTGAACAGTGAAAAGAAAGGAACTAAGCTCCTGAGCACTTACTGCTGTTAACAAGTTAGATTATATTATTGCATATATTATAGAAGACCTTTCATGGTGAGACCACATGTGGTGTAATATCCAATCCACCTATTCTGAAACTGCTGTGGTGTCCTATTCATGGCAGTTGTTATGGAGACAACTTGCTAGGAGAATCTTGGAGCCCAGTTACCTAATGTAGCAAGGGATGCTTCAGCACTCTCCAAGTACACTGCATCAGCTCTCTGTGTCAAAACAGCGAACAAGTCCCTTCTATTGTAGGCATTACTGAAAATCTGGCTGTTTCCTCGTCCAGTCCTCCCACTCCCTGCAGCAGCAAGGACCTTAAATCATATAACAAGATGGCAGCTCAAAACTAATGAGTCAGACCCCCCCAAAATCATGGAGTTTTCTTTTTTAATGATCAGACTGTGTTTTGGGACCTAATTTCTGAAATTTCCTTGCACATTCCCAATGTGTGTGGCAATTTTCATTGTGCTAGACACTATACATACACATAAAATGACAGTTTCTGCTCTGAAGAATGTACAATCTAATGTAAAGCATAGTGGTGAATTTGTGACATGAGAGATAAAACTGACACTCAATAAATTTATCTCATATATGGCTACCATTAGATGGGAAAACTTTTATTCTCTGCTAAACTGGGCTGGGTTCAAGCTGATGACTTACAAGTGAAGGCTCCACAGCCCCCTAGCAGTGCTCAGATTTACCTAATCCCCCATAAGTGCTAATGTTAACATCTTCATGAATGAAGTTGTTTTATGGAAAGATATGTTTGTTAAATCCAGTTCTGAGCTTTTTGGAGCTTACCTCAAGTAAGGTCCTCCTCTCTGACACACAGGCAAGCTCTCCCACACATTGCTCTTAATCTCAAACACAGACCTTAGTTTTAAAGGGAAAACCTCCCATTAAGCAAAACCAAATAATAAAAATGCAACATTAAAATACGTAATAGCACAATATCCAAAATAACTTCTACATTCAATGTTTTGCGATATAAAATCATTCCAACAATTACTCCAGGGTCTTTACACTAACTTTTATATATCTATGTGTAATTTTTTTTCATTCCTACCCGATCATCTGCAAATTTTGTATAAAAAAACCTTCAGATCCACACCAGAGACCTCTTCTATTTCATCTGTAAGAGTAACTAGTAATAGAAAGCATGTGGTGGTCTTCTGTGGACTAGCGAAATACAAAGATTCACAGCACACACATTGCCAGTGAATTACACAGGTACTTGTGACACAGCAGTGGAAACTCTGGGCATTGTGTGAGAAACAGGGCTGGCTCCAGGGTTTTTGCCTCCCCAAGCAGCCCCCCCCCCCCCCCAAAAAAAAGCTGCGATCGCGATCTGTGGCACTTCGGCGGCAATTCAGCAGGAGGTCCTTCACTCTGAGCGGGAGTGAGGGACCCTCCGCTGAATAGCTGGACGTGCCGCCCCTCTCCGGTGTGGCCGCCCCAAGCACCTGCTTGCTAAGCTGGTGCCTGGAGCCGGCCCTGGTGAGAAAATCTCTTGCTCACTCCTCCAGAATTGTGGGAAGGCTGCAGCTTTCCCATTCTTGTGAGACTGTCTAAGCAGAGACCAAAATGGCATTTCTCACAATAAATTCAGAAGAGTTGGCAGCATTGACTTGGTTTCATTCTGATATTGTTAAAGCCTATAAACTCAGCAGGGAAAACTCCTCCTGTTCCAATTAGAGCATTTAACTCCATGGTGGCTTTGTGGGCAGACAAAAATGAAGCCTCTTTTGAGGAGATTTGCTGGGCTGCAACCAGTTTGATTCATTCATTTACGAAGCATTATAAAATCAATATCTTGTCCAAATTGGATGCTGTTTTCAGTTTCTGGGTCCTGCAATTTTGTTCCTTACCTGCAGGGCCCCATGTATCATGCAATTATGTGACCATGTAAATTGCTGCTTAACTGTGGATTATGTTTAAATGGGTGCATAACATGCTCCAGAAAATAAATTCCCATTAAAAACAACATTAAGGCCATGATCCTTGTCTGTGGTCTAGCAATTCACAGTGCAGCTTTGGAGGAGGTGGTGATATAAAGGTAGGTTTTAGCCACCATTGTGCTTCCTCAGCAAGCTGTGTGCTGGGGCTGGTTCCCCAGGATAAGAGCACCACAAAGGGACCATTATGGGAGACAGAGATCACAGGTGCACAGGAAGCCTCAGGCACATCCCCTTTCCCTACCAGCTGCAGGGGATAGATGGTGTAGGAACCATCGCACCAGCTTTACACCACTGGAGGATCCCCCTGTACAAGGATCATCCTACTATGACTGGTTGTGTAAGCATTTGAGCTACAATGTACTTGTCTTAGTGCAGCTAGAGTCTGGCCTGAAGCCTCTAGGCCTTTTAGTTATGAAGATAGCC